TCCCAAAGAAGAAAAATACACATTCTTTTCAAATGCTCATGGCAGTTTTTCAAAGAGAGACCACATGATAGGACACAAAGCAAGCCTCAGTAAATTCAGGAAAATTGAAATAATACCAAACTTTTTCTCAGACCACAAGGCCTTTAAACTCGAAATCAACCTCAAAGAGAAACTTCAAAAACTTGCAAACTCATGGAGACTGAACAGTACACTATTAAACAATGAATGGGTCAATAATGAGATAAGAGAAGAAATCAAAAAATTTCTGGAAACAAATGAAAATGAACAGACAACTGTCCAAAACCTATGGGACACAGCAAAGGCGGTCCTGAGAGGGAAGTTCATAGCAATACAGGCTTACCTTAAAAAGATAGAAACATTTCAAATAAACGACCTAACACTACAACTTCAAGAACTGGAGAAACAGCAACAAATAAATCCCAGAGCAAGTAGAAGGAAGGAAATAGTCAAGATTAGAGCAGAACTGAATGACATAGAGACAAAAAGAACAATTCAGAGGATCAACCAATCCAGAAGCTGGTTCTTTGAAAAGATTCATAAAGTTGACAAGCCTTTAAGTAGACTCATGAAGACAAAAAGGGAGAGGACCCAAATTAATATTATCAGAAATGAAAGAGGAGAAATAACAACGGATACCACAGAAATACAAATGATCATCAGAAACTATTATGAACAATTATATGCCAAGAAATTTGAAAATCTTGATGAAATGGACAAATTTTTAGAAAAGTATAATCTTCCAACACTGAAGGAGGAAGAAACAGAAAGCTTGAACAGACCGATAACAGCTGGGGAAATTGAAACAGTCATCAAGAAACTCCCAGCACACAAAAGCCCAGGGCCAGACGGTTTCCCAGGAGAATTTTACAAAACATTTAAGGAAGAGCTAACCCCTGTCCTTCTCAGACTATTCCAAAAAATCCAAGAGGAGGGAAGACTCCCAGACTCCTTCTATGAGGCCAGCATCACCCTGATCCCAAAACCAGATAAAGACCCTACAAAGAAAGAAAACTACAGGCCAATTTCGCTGATGAACATAGATGCTGAAATCCTCAACAAAATATTGGCAAACCGCATCCAGCAATACATTCAAAAGATTATCCATCACGATCAAGTGGGATTCATCCCAGGGATGCAGGGATGGTTCAATATACGCATTCAGTAAACGTGATACACCACATAAATCAAAGAAAAGACAAAAACCACATGATCATCTCGATAGATGCAGAAAAAGCATTTGACAAGGTACAGCACCCATTTATGATCAAAACACTCAGCAAAAGGGGAATCAATGGGGCATTCCTCAACATAATAAAGGCCATATATGAAAAACCTACAGCCAACATCAAACTCAATGGGCAAAAACTGAAAGCTTTCCCACTACGATCGGGAACACACCAAGGATGTCCACTCTCACCGCTTCTTTTCAACATCGTATTGGAAGTCCTAGCCACAGCGGTCAGACAAGAGAAAGAGATAAAAGGCATCCAAATAGGAAAGGAGGAAGTAAAACTATCATTGTTTGCAGATGACATGATAGTGTACATAGAGAACCCTGTAGACTCTACCAAAAAACTCCTCAACCTAATAAGTGAATTTGGCATAACAGCAGGATACAAAGTCAACATTCAGAAATCAAAGGCGTTTTTGTACACCAGCAATGCAATAGAAGAAGAAGAAATCAGGAAAAATATACCATTCGATATAGCACGAAAAAAAGATAAAGTACCTAGGGATAAATTTAACCAAAGACACAAAAGACCTGTATGCAGAAAACTATACAACATTGAAAAAAGAAATTAAGGAAGACACAAATAAATGGAAGCATATACCGTGCACATGGATTGGAAGAATTAATATCCTTAAAATGTCCATACTACCAAAAGCAATTTATAGATTCAACGCAATCCCTATTAAGATACCAGTGACGTATTTCACAGAAATAGAACAGAGATTTCAAGAATTTATACGGAACCATAAACGACCTCGAATATCCGCAGCAATTTTGAGAAAGAAACACAAAGTAGGAGGGATCACAGTACCGGACATCAAACTCTACTACAAAGCCACTATACTCAAAACAATCTGGTACTGGCACAAGAACAGACCCATAGACCAGTGGAACAGAATAGAAAGCCCAGAAATAAGCCCAGGTCTCTATGGACATCTAATATTCGACAAAGGGGGCAGAAGCATAAAATGGAGCAATAACAGCCTCTTCAACAAATGGTGTTGGGAGAGCTGGATGGCTACATGCAAAAAATTGAAATTGGATCATCAGCTGACACCATACACAAAAATAAACTCAAGATGGATAAAAGACTTAAATATAAGTCTCGACACCATCAAAGTCCTAGAGGAGAACATTGGCAGGAAACTCTCAGATATCCCACGCAGCAATTTTTTCACTGATATGTCTCCTAAAGCAAGGGACATAAAGGAAAGAATAAACAAGTGGGACCTCATCAAAATAACAAGCTTCTGCACGGCTAAAGAAAACATCAGCAAAATGAAAAGGGAGCCAACCATTTGGGAAAATATATTTGTTAATGATACATCAGATAGAGGTTTGATCTCCAAGATATACAAAGAACTCACTTGACTCCACTCCAAGAAGACAAACGATCCAATCAAAAAATGGGCAAAGGACCTGGGCAGATGCTTTTCTAAGGAGGAGATACAGAGGGCCCAGAGGCATTTGAAAGGATGCTCTGCATCACTAGCCATCAGAGAAATCCAGATCAAAACCACCATGAGGTACCACCTCACACCGGTCAGAATGGCCAACATAAATAGATCCACAAACAACAGGTCCTGGCGAGGCTGTGGAGAAAAGGGAACCCTAGTCCACTGTTGGTGGGAATGCATACTGGTGCAGCCACTATGGAAAGCAGTGTGGAATTTCCTCAGAAAGCTGAAAATGGAACTGCCTTTTGATCCAGCGATTCCCCTGCTGGGACTATACCCTGAGAACACCAAAACGCCAATACAAAAGAACCTATGCACCCCAATATTCATAGCAGCACAATTTACAATAGCCAAGTGTTGGAAGCAACCTAAATGCCCATCAGTAGATGACTGGATCAGAAAATGATGGTACATATACACAATGGAATACTACGCAGCAGAAAGAAAAAAAGAAGTACTAAACTTTGCGACAGCATGGATGGAACTGGAGAGCATCATGCTAAGCGAAATAAGCCAGGGGGTGAAAGACAAATACCATATGATCTCACCTATAAGCGGAACCTAACCAACAATGCAAAGAAGCAAGGAAAATACGACCAGCAACACTGAAAGGAAAAGAAATCAACAGAGACAAGAGGGAAGAGGGGGGCAGGGAAAGGGAAGGGAAGGGGAAAGTCAAGGAACATATAGCAAGGACTCATGGACAAAACCAAAGGGGAAGAGCTGAGGGAGGGAAGGTGGGAAGGGGCAAGGGAAAGAGGTGGGGGGAAGGCAGAGACAAATGTATTTAAAAAGTAAATAAATTAATTAAAAAAAAAAGAAAACTTAATAAAAAAAATAAAAGATATGTACCTTTAAAAAAAAAGAAAAATAAAAATAGAAGATGGCCCATTATATTTTCTCTATCAAGTATTTCAAAAATTAATTATTCTAAGAAAAGCAATGACATAAAATCCCATATCTTAATAATTGTTTTAAGTAAGTGAGCTAAGCAACATTTCTCAAAAATTGATAAGTTCTTCAACTCAAATCATTGTTTTTATACCTCATTAATGTAGAGATGGAGAGTGTAGATGAACAGTTGAGCAATGTGGTAGTATAAGGATAAACAGTGGATACTCCATAGACTACTCCAGTTCTTTTTCACAAATTTTAATATCGGCCCTAATTAAACATGCATCATGTTCGTGCCTGAATAAGTGCACACATATACACAGACAGAAAGGGCAGATAGGAACCAATTAGGAAACACATCACTTAAAATTCTTTTGTTTTTCTTAAAGTATGGTCACATAAAATCTGTAAAAGAATTGTACTGAAATACAAACCTAAAATATATGTAATATTGAAAGTTTTATTCAGTGAGACTCTCATTCCATTCAGAATTGAAGAGTTAGAAAATAACAGATATTGTTTCACTTGTTCTCCTCAGAGAATACCTCACAGATTATTATTTCTTCTCTATGGAATATAGATCTATAGATCTTGTGGGAAACTTCTGAGTGAACATGACTTCTGGATATTAATCAATACAAGATAATTTCAATCAGTTTTTTTATTTTTAATTTTAAAATCATGTTTATTCTGTTCAGTTGTATCAATTTTTTCCCCTTTGCCCTCCTTCACCCACCCCATCCTGCCCCCCCCCACCCCACAATCAATCCCCACTCTATTGTCCATGTCCACAGGTCATTCATACATGTTCTTTGTTTATTCCTTTCTCCTTCTTTCCACCATTGTTCTCCTTTGCCATCCCTTCTGGTCACTTTCAGTCTGCTCCATGTTTCCATGACTGTGGTTTATTTTGTTCATTATTTTTTTGAATAGATTCCACTTATAGATGAGATCATGGTATCTGTCGTTCACCGACTGGATTATTTCACTTACCATAACATTCTCCAGTTCCATCCATGTTGTTGTAAAAGATAAGAGTTCCTTCTTTTTTAAAAAAAAATGCAGGTTGATTTTTATTTATTTATTATTGTTAAATATCAAAATCCATTGCCAAATATTAAAAAATTTAAATCAATTATAAAGTCTCAGCAATTAAAACAACATGATACCAGCACAGAAATAATCAAGTAGATCAATGAAATAAATTGAGCATTCTTGGTCCTCTCATGTTGTTGCTGCTCTGGGCAGTGCTGCCTGAGGAAGATGGCTGCTGCTGCATGGGGGATGAGTCAGCACTGGGATCCCGCCAGCCACTCTCTCAGTTCTCTTCCCAGGGCTTCCATCCCTAGTCTCTCCTCAGGTGTCTCTGGCCCACTCTGCTCCCACCTTTGCCGGAGACCAGGACAGGACAACTTCAAGGAAAATTATTTCACTAGCCAACATGACAACATCTTCCAAAATGTGGAGGTTCTGATTTATGTCTTTGATGTGGAGAGCCACAAATTGGAAAAGGACATGCACTACTATCAATCATGCCTGGAGGCCATTCTTCAGAATTCTCCAGATGCCAAAATCTTTTGCTTGGTGCACAAAATGGATCTGGTATAGGAAAATCAACAGGACTTGGCTTGTTCCAGCATTGTTTATCAGTTGATTCTCAATGCTCAGCAACTGGAAATGAACCTAAGGAATTTTGCTGAAATTATCAAGGATGATGAAGTGCTTCTATTTGAGACAGCTAATTATCTGGTGATTTCTCACTATCAATGTAAAGAGTAGCATGATGCCCAGAGATCTGAGAAAATCATCAACATTATTAAGCAGTTTAAGATGAGCTGCAGCAAGCTAGCTGCCTCTTTCCAGAGCATGGAAGTCAGGAACTCTAACTTTGCTGCTTTCATTGATATCTTTACATCCAACACTTGTGTGATGGTTTTGATTTCTGATCCATCCATTCCTTCTGCAGCTACTCTGACCAACATACACAATGCCAGGAAACACTTTGAAAAACTGGAAAGAGTAGATGGACCAAAGCAATGTCTTCTCATGCGCTGAACATCGCCAAATATTGTTTCAGAAAAAAAAATTGAAATGTTGTTTCTTAATCTTAATGTCATATTAGTGTATGTAGGCTCTGAAATGTTGTGATGCTTACTACTTATTTATTTCATCCTTACAATCCCCAATCTTAATGTTTAATCTTGAATGTTATTTACTCAATTATCCAGTGAGAAATTAGATGAGCTGTCCATAAAGTTGGTGTGATGTAAAAGTGGGTGATATGTGTAAGTGTTCTGATATTAAGGTTCTAATAGTGTGTTCTGATAACATGGTTCCTGTAATTGTGTGTGCCAAAGTCTCTTCCAACATTGTCTTATATTCCTTATAAGATAGTAACCTAGATTTTTGGAATACTACTGTTTTCTCAGCATGCAGTAAAAATAGTACTTAACTCCAACTGTAATTAAACTTTTGCACTTAGGGAAAAAATAAAAATAAAAAAAATAAATAAAGTGAGCATTCTAGACACAAACATATATATCTGTTGAACAATGTAATATATTATTAAACTTATATTTCAAATCAATGGGGGAAAATAAGGCATATTCAACAAATAACATGCATGGACAACTATTACTTGAAATAAAACAAATACAGAGCCCTATTTCACACATTCTACAAAAAATATTCAGGTGAGCTAAAAATCAATATGTCAAATCTAAGGAGTTTTAGGAGAAAACATAAAATAATATTTTTCTTACCCTGAAGTGAAATATTCAAACCCAGAAGCAATAAAGAAAAATATTGACAATATGATTGTATTAAACATTTACGACTATGCAATAATATATGTATAAAAAAAGTTAAAGGACAACTAATAGAATAAGAAAGTATTTGCAACACATCTAAAAGAGGGTTAATTTCTTTTTTTTAGGGAAAAAATTCTACAAACATTTAATCAAAGAATGGATAAAGAATACCAAAAAGTCATTTAAAGCTTTTTAAAAATAATAGAAATAGGCAAGAAATATACACAAACAGGTTTAGTTTCAATCAATAATAAAGGAACAACTACAATAACACATCTTTGTCACAATCAGATTAATAAGTATTAAAATATTGGTAATATCAAGTATTGGTGACTGTGAAAGGAACTGGATATTTGCAGACTCTTTTTCTTCATCTTCTTAATGCAGTCCCTTTAGCATATCTTGTAATACTGGTTTGGAGGAGGAGTATTCCTTTATTCTTCTTTTGTCTGGGGAACTCCTTAGTTCACCTTCCATTTTCATTGAGAGCCTTGCTGGGAAGAGCAGTCTTGGTCACAGGCCTTTGCTTTTCAACCCTTGGAATATTTCTTGCCATTCCCTTCTGGCTTGCAGTGTTTCTGTTGAGAAGTCAGCTGCTAGCCACATCGGGGTTCCCTTATATGTTACTACCTCTTTCTCCCTGGCTGCCTTTAGGATTCTCTGTGATATTTGCCATTTTAATGATGCTGTGTCTTGGAATAGGCCTCATTGCGTTCCTCTTGAATGAGATCCTCTGTGCTTCCTAGACTTGTGTGACTTTTTCTCTCCTCCAATTATGGAAGTTTTCCATCGTTACTTTTTCAAACAGGTTCTCTATCCCTTCCTCATCCTCTTCTCCTTCTGGTATCCCTATTACATGGATATTATTATTTTTCAGGTGGTCCTGCATTTCTCTCAATGCCTCTTCATTTTTTTTGAGCCTCTTTTCCTTTTCTTGCTCTTCTGGGAGCTTTTTTCTACCTTGTCCTCCAGCTTGTTGATTCAATCCTCAGCTTCATCTAGCCTGCTTTTGATTCCTTCTACTGTGCTCTTCAATCCAGAAATTGTATTCTTCATTTCTTCTTGCCTCTTATTGATCATTTCTATGTCCTTTTTCATGCTGATATAGTTTACAGTAAGTTCCTCGTAGTTTCCCTGTAGTCTTTTTTAACTCTCTCTGAGCTCACTAAGCTTCCTTAGAACAGTTGTTTGAAATTCAATATCTGACAGTTTACTTGCTTCTCTTTCATTTAGTTCTCTTTCAGGGGATTCCTCTTTTTCCTTTGACCGGAGGGTGTTTATTTGTCTTCCCATTATTTGTGAGACTCTTCTTTTTTGCTTCTGTTTCTTAAATTGATCTGTCTTGATTTCCTGACTTTGTGATGTGAACTTCTATGGTAGGATACTGCTGTTTTTTTATTTCTGAATCTGCCTTTGATGATGTCAGATGTTGACACTGTCTGCCCTTAGGCAGTTTGTTCAAGACTTCTAAGAATCTACTGTCCATCACTGTCTCTTTCAGCTGTTAATCTAGTCACTCTGCACTCAACACACCAGCTTAGACACCACAGGGTGGGGCAGAGTCCCTCATGAGGGTTGGGTTATGGAGACCTCTCATGGTGCTGCTGCTCAGAGCAGTGGTCTGCCTGAACAATATGGCTGCTACCACATGGGGGATGAGTCACCACCTGGTTCCCACTGGTTACTCTCTCAGTTCTCCCCCCAAAGCCTCCTTCCCCAGTCTCTTCTCAGGTGTCTCTGGCCCACTCTGCCCCCACATTTGCTGGAGACCAGGGTAAGCGGCTGCAAATAAAAATTTATGCATTGGTTCTTTATTCATCTCCTTGCATCTCCAGCTGCCTGTCTCTGTCAGAGAGCAACCCTGCCACTTTTTGCAGCTGGCTGTTATCTGTGTACTTTTTGGGCTCCAGTGCTATATGCTGGAAATCCCTGCTTATGGTTTAGACCCCACTCTTCCTAGGGGGAATCCAACTGGTCATTTCAATATCCTTCTGGTGCTGCCGTCTGTGGGCATCCTGCCTGCCTTCTCGAGTCTCTGTTGCACTCCTTACCAGTTAGGTTGTGTTAAAGTTGATTCTTCTGTCTGTCCAAGGTTGTAAGGCTCCTCTCACTCTTGTTCAGTTGTTTGTTCCAAGTGATTTCTCCACAATTTAGTTGTAGTTCCAGATTGGTCCTGGGAGGAGTTCAGTGTGATTTCTGCTCACTCCTCTGCCATCTTGATTCTCTCAGGTCCGAATCAATGATTTTTAAGAAAAATAATTATCCAACATTCACAAAATATTCATAAATGTCTAAAATATATTTAAATCAGTATGAAATACATTTATAGAGTTTGAATAAAATTATGTGTTCTGCATTTTCAAAAAAAATATTTTATCAGTGGCAACACCCAAACAAGTGTGTACAATAGACAACCCAAACATTAGATTTCCTTGAACAATGTATACTTCAATTGGATTCTGCAAACTATTACTGTTAGAAGAGATTGTTACATATTAATAATGCTATATAGAATGTGTTTTGACTCTAAAACATAATGCTCACCTGAGGTTAAGGTGCTGAATTAGACAAATAAAAATTCTCAGATGGTCAATCAGAAAATAACATGTATCATTATTGTTCTTCCTTAATAAAAAATGTAAAGAATTTTTTCAGAGCAAAGGGGTCTCTAAAGCTAAAGTTGCTCTATAGAAAAACTTATCACAAGAAGGGTACTGGAGAGAAGAATCTTTAAAAAAAATAAAAAATACGCTTTAATAATATGCTATATCATTTCAAAACAAAGTTGTTTTACATTTGTAGTAGTTTGCTAAGGCCACCATAACAAATTAATACTGACTGAAATATTTAAACTAAAAAAAAAATTTTCACACCATTCTGGTATCCAGAATTATGCGATTAATGTGTTTGTAGGTTTTGTTTCTCCTGAGAAATCTTTTCTTGGCTTACAGATGTTTGTCTTCTTGCTGTGTTTTTTTTATGTGAACTGTTTTCGGTGTGTTTCCATCATGGTGTCTTTCTTTCTATGTCCTAAGCTCTTATTATTAAGAGAACACCAGTAACATTTGAATAAAGAACAAGTGTATTTTTCCCCCTTACAACAATGGTATAAAACTAGAAAGCAATACCAGGAGAAAAACGAACAAATAAAAAAAAAACCCACTGGCATGTGAAAATTACACAATACATTCCTGAACAACCAATGTGTTAGTGAAGAAATCAAAGGAGAAATAAAAAAATATCTTAACACAACAAAATGGAAACAAAACAAACCAAACTTATGGAATGCAGCAAAGCAGTTCTAAGAGGGAAATTTGCAGTGATAAACGCCTACATAAAACAAAATAAACTAACTTTACACTTCAAGGAACTACATAAAGGAAAACAGCTCAAAGTTAACAAAAGAGAGGAAATGCAAATATCAAGGTTGAAATAAATGAAATAGAGACAGAAATACAATATAAACAATAATCAAAACTAAGATTTAGCTTTCTGAAAATATAAACAAACAAGACAAATCATGAAGAAACAGAAAATTTGAACAGATCCATATGAGTAAAGAGTTTAGATCAGTAATCAAAAGCCTTCCAACAAAGAAAAGGCCAGGGCTAAATGGGTTTGCTGGTGAATTCTACCAAACATTTAAAGAAGAAACCATTCCCATCCTTCTCAAACTCTTTCCAAAAAAATTGAAGAGGAGGGAATAATCTCCAACTCATTTTATGGGGACAACATTACCCTGATATCAAAACCAGATAAGGGAACTAAAAGAAATAAAACTACAAGTTAATATCTCTGATGAATATAGATGCAAAAAGCAAATCATATTCAAAAGAACATTAAAAGGATCACAGACTGCGTTAAGTGGAAATTTTCCCTGGGACACAAGGATGGTCCAACATAGGCAAATCAATACATGGTATACACCACGTTAATGAAATAAAAGATAAATTCATATGAGCATTTCAATAGATACAGAAATAACATTTAAAAAATCTCACCATTATTTCATTTTAAAACTCTCAACAATTTGGCTATCTAAGCAATGTGTTTCAATATAATAAACTCTGTATGTGCCCACAGCTAACATCATATTCAAGACTGAAAGGTTGAAAGTTTTTCACCTATGATCAAGAAGAAGACCAGGATACCGATTCTTACCACTCTTATTCAACTTAGTCTTAGCTAGATCAGTTAGGCAAGGAAAAAATATATTAAAAAGAGATCCAAATTGGGAAGGAAGAA